ATCCAGAAAATTTTTTCTCTGAATGAATTCTATTCACATAAGATTTTAATTTGTAAAACAAATGGAACAAAAATTTCAAAGTAATATTTCTGTATGTGAGAGCAATACTTGTACCAAATTTTATATGGATGTCTTAATTTAGTAATGAATTATTTGCGTTTAAGTTATTTTCGGGAGGGGACCTTGTATGGGAGCTATGTCCAATTATGGACCGATCCAGAAAATGTTTTCTCTGAATGAATTCTATTCACATAAGATTTTAATTTGTAAAATTTTGTAAAGATTTCGAAATTGTGACGGAAGTTATTAACAAAAAATTCATTTTTCGGGAATATGTAATTTTGTATGGGAGGTATATGAAATTGTTGATCGAAACGAATGTATGGTGATTTTCATGGAATTATCTTGCATAGTTTTCGAGAAAATTACATCAGAATGTTTTCAATACCAAACTGCCTAGGACAATAATAAATATTTTGGGTGAATTTCGATAATTTTTGTTGCTTCGTGTTAACGTGAGAATGTTTTATACAGACAGACAGACAGACGGACGGACGGACAGACGGACATAGCTAAATCGACTCAGAATTTCATAAGGTCCAAGAATATGTATACTTTGTTGGGTCTCAGATGAATATTTCTTGGTGTTACACACGGAATGACAAAGTTATATATACCCTCTATCGCCACTGATGGTGGTGGAGGGTATAATAATAAGTATAGTCGCAAGAATTCCCATTCTTCACAAACATAATTATTTTTTATGTATAAAGTTCATTATATTTAGTGCAAGAACTAGTGATTGTTATTGTTTTGTTTCCATCAAAACATAGTTGAATATTGCACATACATACTTACTAAGATTTACAATATTATTATTTAAAAATATTAAAGTAAATTTTGTGGTGGTTTTTTGTTTATTTTATCTCTTAAAGTAATAAAATATATTCTCTTTTTTATACGCTATACCGTAGCTATAACAAAAGAAAGTAAAAAACAAAGAGACAAAATAAACATATATACAAACATACATTACATATATACATTATTGTGTTTGTTGTAATTTGTGTGTTCCCTACACATTGTGAGTCGGTCTGATTAATTCAATACTAATTATAACATCGACTTAAATTTTTAATAAAATTTCAAGTAAAATCTTTTTGGAGAAATATTTTCGCGAATTAGCGGTCACCCTACGCTGTTAGATCCGGCATTTTAGGTACAATATAGGACCTGTAAACGGAACTATTTTGTAATATTTCTTCAATTAAAAGATTTTTTATTTAACTTTTTGGAAATATATTTTCGCGATTAACGGTCACTCTACGCAATTAGATTCGGTATATTAGGTACATTATAGGACTTGTATACGGAATTTTTTTCTCAACATTTTTCAACCAACGGTCAAATTAGATAATATTAGTTACAGATCACTTACTGTTATACTTGTTAGTTATTCTATTCATCGATTTGATTTTTTCGAAATTAGTTTTCTCATTTGGCTTTTTAAATTTTCCATTTTAAACAATTTATTTGAACTTTTTTAATAATGGGCTCCACATTATGTGCTAAGTTCGCTTTAGAATGCGATAATTTAGTTGGATCTTGTTCCAAGTTTGATATAACTCCATTTGAAAATTTAACCGAGTCACTTCTCGAGACGAAATTGCAGTTCCTTGATAGGACTGGCAATCAGTTCGAAAAGCCTTTGAGGATTTAATTTTAACTAATGAGAATATTATTCCTGAGAGCGAAAAATGCACGGCAAAAGTAAGATTTGGGTCGGTAAAGGACGAATATCAACGTACCAAGGCTAATATGATGGACCAATTGAAGATGCACAGAGCTTCTAGTAATCAAGGTCTAAGGTCCGATCAACCGACCAACTCTACTTTGTTCAATACTTCGAACATGTATCCCATTAATGCCACATTTAATGATTCGGAGATTTGTATAAAGGTTCCTCATTGTAATACTCAGGATTTTATGGGGGTTATGAGGAATGGCCATCATTCCGCGATATGTTTACCGCCATTTATGGTAATCACCCTCTATTAACACAGGCTCAAAAGTTATATCATCTAAGGAATAAAACAAAGGGCGAAGCAGGTAGTATTGTAGCTAAATATCCGCTTTCAGATCAGAATTATTTACTGGCGTGGGACGAGTTAAGGGCGCGATATGAGAACAAGCGCATTTTAGTAGATAATCAGTTGAAGATTCTATTTAATATACCAGCAGCAAAGGCTGAAAATTGCGAATCTATTAACAGGATTCAAACAACCATTAGCGATTGTTTATCAACTTTAAAGGCTCATGGTATACGAACCGATCAATGGGATCCAATCCTAATATATTTGTGTTCCATAAAATTACCTGATGAAACATTAGCTCCTTGGGAGCAATCGTTGAGTTCTCCAACTCGTTTACCTTCCTGGGCAGAAATGGAAGATTTTTTAATAAATAGACATCAGGTAATGGAAAGAATATCTACATTTAGAAGTCAAAACCCAGCTTATGTTCCATATCATAATCAGGGTAGAAATTATAATATCTCTTCACAGCAGAATAAAGCTAGATATGAAAACCCGAACAAAGAAGCTCAATTGAAGAATGATGAGATGCTTTGCAAATTATGTGATAAAACACATTTCATTCGAAATTGTCCTAAATTTCAAAGCTTTTCAGTAAAACAGAGAATTGGCTATGTAGAAAAGAACAAAACTTGTAGTAATTGTTTGTCTTCAGCTCACACAAATACAAATTGTCAAAGCGTTTTTACATGTGTCCAGTGTAAGAACAAGCACCACAGCTTACTTCATTTGGATAATTATTCCAATAATAAGAAGAATAAGCCAAATAAAAACAAAACGTTCAATACGTTTCATGCTGATCCCTCTCAGCAACCGGAGGATACAATAAACCGCCAACCACCATGTAGCTCAATGTCTACAGTACACAAGACAAACACACAAACAAACTTTTCTGTCAATGATGATGATATTTTATTACCTACAGCTCTAGTAGAAATTTTACATTTATGAGAAATATTTACAGTTAGAGTTCTAATAGATTCGGGATCAAAACGATCGTTTTTAACTGACAAAATATCAAAAAGGCTTGGCTTAATAACTCAAAATGCAAACTTTGAAATTTGTGGATTAGGTGGTACAGTGGTAGCAAATTCAAGTAAAATATCTACCATTACTATGTGTAAAAAAAACCACGAGTTCTCACTCAGTACCCAAGTTATAATAGTTCCAAATTTGACCAAATTTATGACAAGCTTTTCGATTTCAAACGCTGATCTCTCAGAAATAAAACATCTAGAATTAGCCTATCCGCATTTCTTGGTATCTTCACAAATAGACATGCTAATCGGTAGTGATACAGTTCCATATATCGTTCAAGATGGAATACAAAAGAATATCTTAGGCAATCTACATGCTCAAAATTCCATCTATGGATGGTATATTTATGGCCCAATGAAATTACATAGCGTTTCCCTAACTGCTAATATTCAACATAAGGAAGAAAATGATAAAATAAGCTCAATGCTTAGACTATTTTGGGAAACAGAAGAATTTCCAAAATCGAAAGTTCTATCAGAAACAGAACCACATAAAGATCCATTTAAATCCCCAGATGGATCCATTTCCATCCAGATAGCAAAATCCAGATCCGTGATTTCTGTGATGAACATCTGAATAGGCCTATTGCGCAACAATATACATTCGAGTGGAAGATTTGTCTGGCAAACATTCTAATCTGCTAGTAGCGAAAAGCAAAGTTTAGGCAAAGTGTAAGTTTTCCTCGGTTAGAGTTATGTGGGGCATTACTGCTCTCGAAACTAATAACACAAACTCTAACTAACAATTCATTTAAAAGTGCTCAACTTTTCCTGTGGTCAGATTCCACTATAGTATTAGCATGGTTACAAAAACATCCATCAGTTTGGAAAACATATGTTGCCAATAGAACATCTCAAATCATTGAAAATGTTGGTAATGCTAAGTGGAACCACGTTTTAACCCATGAAAATCCATCAGGTCTTGGAACACGAGGTTCTAAACCACAAGATCTTAAAGAAAATTCTTTTATGGTGGTATGGATCAATGTGGCTACTTGAATCCCAAGACAATTGGCCTAAATCTAACCCACCTGCCATTGCTCTTATGGAACAAAGGAAAGTTGAAGTTCACTGTTCCGTTCCAGATGAACTGAATATAATACAAAGATTTTCTTCATATCGGCGAGCCCTCGCCGTAATGGCATATATTTATAGGTTCATACGTTCTACTGATAAAAGATTAGAGAAAACTAAGTTTGAAAGTTTAACGCTCTCTCACGAAGAGCTTAATAACGCAAAAATTGTATATATTAGACTAACGCAGAAGTTTCATTATTCTGAAGATTTAAAGAATCTTTCGGAGTCTAAGCTGATTTCAAAGAAAAGCTCTCTGCTTACTCTAAATCCATTTCTCGACGCTCAAGGTCTTATGCTGGTTAATGGTAGATTAGCTAATGCCCCGCTTACGTACGATGAGCGATTTCCCATAATTATCCCCAACTCTTCCGAAGTTTTTCTGGAGTTTGTCCACAAAACTCTAGTCCATGCTGACATCACACTTATGATGAGCGCAGTAAGAAGCCAGTTCTATATTCCTGGTTTAAAAAGAACAGCCAAGAAATGCGTTCATCAATGTCTTACCTGTGCTTGTTATAAACAACAAGTGAAATCGCAAATAATGGCTGCACTGCCAAAAGAGAGATCCACTCTTTCATTACCGTTCTCACATACGGGTGTCGACTTTGCTGGTCCATTTCAGATCAAGTCTGGCAATTTGCGAAATTCACCATATATGAAAGATTACGCATGTATCTTTATATGTTTTGCTACAAGAGCCATTCATTTAGAAGCTTGCTCTAGTTTAACATCATAAGCATTTCTAGCTGCTTTTTCACGTTTTATAGCTAGGCGAGGATTGCCAAAATCAATTATGTCGGACAATGGTACAAATTTTATAGGCGCTAGTAAGTCATTGCTAAAGGAGTATTCGTTATTTATTAAACAATCCTCCAAGGATATAACAGATAAATATGCCATTAATGGACTTGAGTGGAAGTTCATTCCACCTAGCGCCCCGCATATGGGAGGTTTATGGGAAGCTGGCGTCAAAAGCTTCAAAATCCACTTTAGGAAAATTGCTGGCACACATAAATTTAATTTTGAAGAGTTCTCTACTCTGCTTGCGCGAATAGAAAGTGTTCTAAATTCACGACCAATATCACCTATGTCAGAAGACCCAGATGACCTGCAGGCCCTTACTCCGAGTCATTTTCTGCGCGGTGCGCCATTGGTATTCGCGCCAGAAATACCGCCTGACAATTTGTCGTTATTGAATCGCTGGGAACGACTGAAAACACTACATCATAAATTTGGTCAACGATGGAAAAATGAGTACCTTCTGGAGCTGCACAAGAGGTACAAATGGCAGAATCCACGACGGGATCTACAGACTGGTGATTTCGTTATCATCAAGAATGAGCTTCTTCCTCCATGCGACTGGTGGTTAGGCAGAATAGAAGCCGTACACGTTGGTCGGGATAAGCGCGTAAGAGTCGTTGATGTTAGAACATCTAGTGGCGTCGTGACCCGACCAATCGTAAAATTATGCATGCTCCCGTTACTTCATATATGATAATATCTATTAGAGCTGTATAATTTTAAAAATTAATTGTAAAAAAGTAATAAATACATTAAATCACATTAGTGGATGCATATTCAAAAAGCTGCGTTTTAAATGTTGTAAATCGTAAATCAAAATATCTAAGAACTCGAGGAAGAGAGTTCCAATGTTTAGAAACTCGCACATGAAAAGATCTTTCGTAAGTGGTTCGATTTATTATAGGAATTAAAATTTGAGGATTTCTATCAGAATGCAAAAATTCAAAAGTATTTCTAACATATTCAGGGCAATTAGCTATTACTACCTTATAAAAGAACAATAACAAACGGATTTGAACAAAATTCATAAAAGAGCAACCCAAGAAATCTCTAACATAGTCAGACACATGATCATGCATTTTTAATTGATAGACATAACGTATTATTCTGTTAAAAAGAAGTAAACACTTATTAAACTCCTGAGCATTACATCCAGAATAAACTTCAATACAATACAATAGGTTAGACATTAGCAAAGAATGTGCAATAGTTTTTCGAATAGTAAGTGGTAAATACAAATTTAAGGAATATAATTTCCTTAGAGTAAAATTAATTTTAGAGCTCAGAAAATTAATATGTTGGGAAAAAGTTAGATGTTTATCCAGCTGAATTCCAAGACATTTGATACATTCAACGAACTCAATAGGTTCATCATCAACTGTAATAGATTAATGTACTTCGGAACCATGCGGTTTAAAAAGCATAGCTTTAGTCTTTGCAGGGTTTATCTTCAGATTATTTTCTCTCATCCATCCAGAAACATCAGATAATATAAGATTTATATCATATTGAAACACATCAAGAAGCTGAAGATGACCAGAAAATAAAAGTTGTATATCATCTGCAAAGAGAAAAGCCTGACATTCAAAAACTTGTAGTAAATTAAAGAAATCATTAATGTAAAGCATAAAAAGTAAAGGTCCTATAACTGAACCCTGTGGGACACCACTAGTTACAGGTAAACACCTTGAATTTGCATTACCGCAATGTACGTATTGGTGGCGGCCAGTCAAATACGAATATAGTAATCTACAGGCCGATACAGAAAAACCAAAATAAGTAGAAAGTTTCCGAATTAAAATAGCATAACTTATAGAATCAAAGGCTTTATATAAGTCAAGTGACATCAATACGCCTACATTACACTTGTCCACTATGTGCCTGACAGAATCGTTAAGACTAATTAAAAGAGAAGTAGTGCTGTAATTAGCACGGAACCCGGATTGAAAAGGGTTTAACATTGAATTCGTATTTAAAAATTTCATAATTTGCTCTTTTATTACATGTTCTACAATCTTTGACAATACAGGTACTAAGGAGATAGGCCTAAATTGATTTACAGAATCTTTTTTTCTAATGGGTATGACCTTAGTAACTTTCCAATCAGAAGGAAATAGAGACTCTGAAATAATATTATTAACCAAAAGTAAAAGTTGTTCCAGGATGAAAGGGAGGATTAATTTAATAAACTTGAGAGGTAGACCATCAGATCCGGAAGCATTTGATTTTATTTTGGAAATAGCATTGAGTAAGTCTTCATGATCTATGTTATGAAAGGAGAAACGATTATTAGGAAAAATATAATCAAAAGGGTCAAAAGAATCAACAGTCCTAAAATCCGAAAATTCCATGTTTAAAACATCAGGATCCAGATCCTCAATATGCTCAGATTCATTCAAACATCCATTTGATCGTAACGATCTCCACATACTTCTTGTATTAAGTCCATTTAATCTCTTTATGTGAACATTACGTTTAATTTTTCTAATAACAGATTTTGATTTATTACGTGCCCTACAATAACTTTTCCAATTCACAGGCGATGGCTCCCTTAGATACTCTCGGAAGGCTAAATCCCTGAGAGAGAGGTGATATTTAATTAATGGTGAATTAAACCAACTTCTGTCATTTAAAGTGATCTTTAATCTCCGTATAGGAACCAAGGAGTGCAGATGATTTAAGCAAAACATTAATTCAGAAAGCTGGAAGTTTACATCATGAGAAATATTAAAGTTTGAAAAGTCATATTGACAAACATATTGATCAAGAATAGAAATATTAACATTGTTATAATCTTTAAATTCAATAAACTCATTCCTTGGCCTTAAGTAAATACGTACACTTATAAAAATAAACGAATGGTGCGATATGGCTGGGCATTACATTTGGACTGAAACTTCAACTGAGAGCGATGGACTCAAAATGAAATAATCAAGTAAGGTAGTAGAAAGACCTGAAGCAACATAGTGCGTTGGTAAATTATTGTGATGATATGTTAGACCTAAACGACGACAGGTGGAGAGAACAAGATTAGCGTTATCAATATTAAACAAATTCAAATTAAAATCACCCATAATTATGACATGCTGGTATTTAACTAACAAGTCACCTAGGCGATTCTCCATTAAATCAATGCTACCATGAGGGAGATAAACAACCCCTAAAAGTAATATTGTGTTAGAGTGACTGATTTCAATAAAAATGGATTCAAATACACCAAAGTCCGTAGATTTAAAAACAACCTTGGCCTTGAACTTATTGGTAATATATAAACCAACTCCACCGCCTCTCTGACCATTGCCTACATTGGTAGGATCAATATCTCCTCGACCTGGCCTATCACTTCTATAAAAAGTGTAACCAGGAACAGATACAACATTGGAGGATATGTGCGTCTTAAGCCATGTTTCACTCACGCCAATAACATCAAGTATGCAATCTTGTAAAATATTACGAATTTCATCCAATTTAGTAGATCTATGTGACGTATTAAAACTTTAGCAATTAAAATGTCCAATTTTCAAATCATTTAAAGAGTTACAAAATTTAGAGCGCAAATAAATATTATCATGTGACACTGAACCCAAATTAGAGTCAAATGACATAATAGAAAATATTACAAAATAAAAATTAGAACTAAAAATAAAATAATGGAATAAATGTAGGTATAAAAAATTTAAATTATGTAAATAGGAACTTTGCATTCAACTGATGAGATTTGTAGGTGTATAACTCCAAAAGTATAATATGCAATATGTATACTCTTGAGTGTACATCACCACTTATTAAATCGCTGAGCTTTAGTGATCTGGACTTATGGTACTCCGCCATTAAATTGTCACGTATACGAACTCGCTTTAATTTGACAAGAATCGATTTACTTTTATTCATGAAGCAAACATGTTGAATGTCATTGACATCTATTGAGATTCCATAGAAACTGCATAAATCAACAACAATGTTTTCCAAGTTTGAAATGGCAGTAGGTAGACCATTAATTACAATATCTGTCCTATTAGCTCTATGGTATATAACATAGGTTATAGCTTCTTGTTCTTTCATTTTATTTTCCACAGAGGCATCCAGCCCTTTGACTTGACTGTAACAGCTAACAACATCAGCTTCAATTCTCTCTAATCTTGAAGTAAACTCAGCACGAAGGTTGCAGATTGAAGTTTCAATAATCTTTTCAGTTTCAGCCGTATGTTGAGTTAATTGATTTGTCACATTGTACACTGCCTCCTTTACCAATTTCTTTTTTACATTTTCCACATAAGACTTTTTTACCAGCCATATTTGTTTTGTTTTGAATGACAACAACAAATTGTATATGGCAAACAAATAAACAAGGCGCAACAGGTAGCAAGATCAACAGCAGCAACAACAACAAAATTAATGCAAATGGCAGAAACAGCAACAACAAATCGAAGATAATAAATTTTGTGGCAAAAATATATAAAATACTTATAATTGCAACAGTATTTTATAAAACTCCAATAGAACAGTGTTTAAACAATTGATTTTACACCGAACAGTATTTAATTACGAATTTACATTAAATAAAAAAACACCAAAATCATCAGCTGAAGTTATTAGAACTTTACTCTGCCATAGCGTTGCCACAGCGTTATGTGAAAAGTCTGTAGATTAGTTTGTTCTTGTCCATACAATGTCGTGTCTATGTGTCCAAAGCAATTTCTTCGACCTTAATCTGCCTCTGTTCTTTGTGTTTTAATATCATTCCAGAATGGATCCAGCCCAAACCCCAGAATTGTGCGTTGTGTGTTTTGCATACCACCCATTGAGATATTGCAAGATGTTCCGCAAGTTGACATTGGAGCAACGACTTTATGTGGTGAGAACCCATAAGTACAGCTCCAATTGCTTCTCGCGGACCCATCTTATAGGGAGCTGTATCTCAATGGGTGCATGCCAAATATGTTGCGATTTGCAACACACATTGCTGCATCCAAGGACTGCTGCTCAGGGGCCAAGGCAAAGGCAACCACAACAGCCACGCCAACGCGCTCGCAGAAGCCTCCCCAACCCTCCTCAACAGAGAGCTCAACAGCGGTTGGATGACCTCCTTCAACGACTACAACAACAGCAGCAGATTATTCAACAGCTACAGCAGCAACAACGCCAACGACAACAACGGCAACGACAACAACTACAGCAACAAGCTCAGCGGCAGCCACAACGTCGCCAACAGCAACTTCCCCGACGCCAACAACTTCAACCACAAGCCATAGCCGTTCCTCAGCCTGCGGCAGCGCCAGCCTCAACCCAGGGGCTGGTCAATCAAATTGTTTCAGCCCTCAGCCAACTGACAGGGTCCACAATTGCACCAGTGCAAGGAGGCCGGCATGTCGAAGCCCGGTCAGGCCGCGTTGAAGACGATTTCACCGATTTCCTGACGATCTTATCGACTTCGACGACGGCCTTACCGACCTTGACTGAAGGTCTCCAAACACTTCCTAAAGGCAATATTTTAGGAAGTGTTACGAGCAAGCCGGGCTTGGCGCCGAAGAAGATCGGTTAATTTTTTATTATTAAATTAAATCCCGAACGACTCCCGGTCAACAAGTGGTTTTGTTTAATTAACAAAATAAAAAAAAAACGCACTCCTTCTTAATTATTTGTGCCTTAATTATTTGAAAAAAACAAGTCAGAGTGCTATATTCGGCTGAGCCGAATCTTAAGTACCCTCCACCAGCTACTTATACATATATTAATACTTTTCCAATTGATCAAATATTTGTAGAAATAAGTTTTCTCATGTATTGAATAGAAAAATACAAAGATTTAAACAGCTTAAATCTATTACAATTCCATGCTTTATTGAACATTACAAACACCATTTTCTTTATATTTTTATAGCGCTTAGCGATATTTAGTAATTTGCATGTATGCATGTGTGTAAAAGATTTAAGGATTTTCAAAATAAATATATATAATTTTGTTCTACACAAATTGATAATGAAACAAGTTAAATACGGTTAAAGCGCTTTTAGGAGCAGAACATAGTATGGGAGATATGACCAATTATAGACCGATCGTAAAAAATTTTTTAAGCAAAATTTCTGTTCATAAAATCTATATTTCAGTCAAATTTTGTATCTATATCGTAATTTAGTAATAAGTAATGTGTGTTTAAGTGATTTTCTGATGGGAACCTTGTATGGGACCGACCGCACCTATGTTATGAACCGATCGTGAAAAAATCTTGAAATAGAATTTTTGTATACAAAATTAATATTTGGCCAAATTTTTTATCAATAGCTTTATTTGGTAACGAGTAATGTGCGTTTAAGAGATTTTCGTAAAAGGACCTTGTATGGGAGCTATTACCAATTATGTATATAAAGACAAAATTTAAAAATTCTGTATCTATATCATTATTTGGTAATGAATATTGTGCATTTAAGTGATTTTCTGGAGGGGACCTAGTATAAGAGCTATGACCAAATATGGACCGATCGTAAAACAATTTTATAGTTTAATTTATGTATATATGAGCAATATTTTTGCTAAATGTATGGATATCAATATTTTGTAATGAGTTATGTGCGTTTAAGTGATTTTCGGGAGGGAACCTTGTATGGGAGCTATGACCAAAGTTGGACCGATCATGAAAAAATGCTCAAATAACATTTCTGTGTACAAAAGTAGTATTTATGCCAAATGTTTTATGGGTATCACTATTTGATAATGAGTTATGTGCCTTTAGGTGTTTTTCTGATAGGGACCTTGGGAGCTATGATCAATTATGGACCGATAGGAAAACAAATTCACAGTAATATTTGTCTGTATATGAGCAATGCTTGTGCTAAACTTTATATAAATGTCTTAATTTAGTTTAAGTGATTTTCGGAAGGGGACCTTGTATGGGAGCTATAACCAATTATGGACCGATCGGAAAAAAAATTCACAGTAATATTTTCGTGCATATGTGGATATCTTAATTTTGTAATGAGTTATGTGCGTTTAAGTGATTTTCGGGAGGGGACCTTGTATGGGAGCTATGACCAATTATGGACCGCTCGGAGAAAAATTTCACAGTAATATTTTCGTGCATATGAGCAATACTTGTACCAAATTTCATATGGATATCTTAATTTAGTAGTGAGTTTTGCGCGTTTAAGTGATTTTTTGGAGGGGACCTTGTGTGGGAGCTATGACCAATTATCGACCGCTCGGAGAAAAATTTCACAGTAATATTTCTATGCATATGAGCAATACTTATACCAAATTTTATATGGATATCTTAATTTAGTAATGAGTTATGCGCGTTTAAGTGATTTTCGGGAGGGGACCTTGTATGGGAGCTATGACCAATTATGGATCGATGGAACAAAACAGTAATATTTCTGTATGTGAGAGCAATACTTGTACCAAATTTTATATGGATGTCTTAATTTAGTAATGAATTATTTGCGTTTAAGTTATTTTCGGGAGGGGACCTTGTATGGGAGCTATGTCCTATTATGGACCGATCCAGAAATTTTAAATACGGTTAAAGCGCTTTTAGGGGCAGGACATAGTATGGGAGTTTGTAATGGTATCTTTACGTAAATTTGAGTATAATGTTGAAAGTGGAATATTCAAGGAACAAAGTGACTACACGTTCTTTTAGTTGGGCTATAACACTATTATGTCCCATTCATACCAAAACAAAGTCGAACGTGTATTACGACATCAAACAGGTATAATTAGAAGTACCTTCAGTTTTCGGACGGACCACGGACCTCTATTTTACCGGTCTTTAGTGATAAATATATTACCAAATTGCACGCTACATATGATCTCAGATGTATTCGATCATTGCCCTCACCAACCATAGTTCTCAATAAAGTCCATATTATTTGTTTGAGAACCCCTATACCTTACCTTCACTACATTAGTTTGGCTCTCTTTACTTTAAACAAATTAGTTAGAATTCGTATTAAGGTTTATTAACAAACAAAAGAAATATAACAAAATATATATTTTAATTAAGAAGAACTTTAAACTATTTATAGGATATAATATTTAATTGTAATACATGATTTAATGTGCATATTGTTCTTAAATTTTAGATTTGTTTTGTTACTCACTGTAGTTTCATTAAACGTTGCTCAGGCCTGTGCTGTTGTTGTAGATGAAACATCAGATGTTGTTGTGTTTTTTTCCAGTTTTCATAATTATAAATACAAAATACTAATATACAATTTTAATATAATTTTAATAGAATCGCAGTTGTAATGAAGTTTAATAATGATCTTATTTAGAATATAAATTACAACAAAATAAGTTTAACCAGTGATCACTAGAAGAGTGATACAATTTAAAAAAGAAACAATTATCATTAGGGGTATTAACTAATTAGTATTTATATAAACTTAACAATAATAATTACAAAGAACAAATATTTATGCAAATTTAGAAATTTTAACAAGAATCAAAATTAATAATTTGAAAATTTACGAAAATGACAAATATAACAAACAACGACAAATTTTAAAATGTGTAACAACAGTATATAACAATGTGAATATTTATAACAGTTTTAATTTTACATATATGATTAGGCGTTTAAATTAAATATATTATATTTAATTATAATTCAAATCAGCTATTATTTTAATTTAATTATTTGGAATTTAATTTTATAAATTTGATTTATTAGTTTGCTAAGATAGTTTTTAAATTATATAATGATTAGTTTCAATATATATTAAAATTCAGCCACGTTGTCCACAGCACGCGGTTTCGAATCGTCTCCGACAATTTGTCTCCCAAATTATCCAAATTAGCAAATCTATTCTTTTCCCAATATAAATCTTTCCACTTTTTGTATAACTAAGCTTTCGTTCAATATTCTTTTTATTTTAATTATTTTTTTTTCTTCAATGTAATACTACTTATAATTTTAAATTAAAGCTTATTAATCATCGACTTAAACTTATCGCGATCCATCTTCAATTAAATTTTGCGACATCATTTATAGTTTCATTAAGTCAAGAACAATTTAAAGAGAATCGCTATAAATCTACCTCTCCCGTTTTCCCATTCATAAATAGGGACTACCAACTTCCATTCAGGGAATCAAATCTCAATTATAATCCCAAAAGAAACAAAAAAAATGTAACGGGATATTATTTTAAATTTATTGATAAGCTTAACTCAATTACAAATGCAATTAAGTGGAATTGAAACAATATGCAAATATGTAATAAATGAAAAGAAAAAAAAAAAAAAAGTGATGGTAAAATGGGGATAAAATTAAACAATAAGTACTTAATCAATATGTATGCACATTCTCAACAAATATTAAACCGTCACAACACAGTTAAATTTTCATTAATATCTTAATGTAAAATTTTACTGAAAAACTGTGAAATAATACAATTATTTAGGCCGTAAATCTTTAGCGTGGAATGTACCTATTTTCCTACCTTTTAGATCTGATAATTCATAATAGCAATTCCCAATCCGTTTATCTATTCTGCACTTTAGAAATTTTGGTGCCAGCTTGGCACAAAAGTCATTAGCTTTGCTACTCAGAGCAAAGTTTCTTCTATAAACCTCATCTCCTTATAACTGATCTCTTTGGCACGAAGATTATACGTTTTCCTATATGAGTTATATGCTCTTTCCAAATTCTCTTTCACCTTTTCACGTATAATGTGGAGTTTGTCAGAATGTTGAATATCTTCACCATTTCCCAACGAATCTATATTTCTTAATAGCTGATACGATTTACCATGAGTAATCATAGGGTAACCAAATAAAGCGTGAAACGGAGAATAACCGATTGAAGAATGAATAAGGCTACGTAGAGCAACACATATATTACTGAGATGGGAATCCCACTCACGTTGGTCTTGTTTGAGGTAAGAACGTATAGCCGCCAAAATTGACCGATTTAGTCTTTCTGATGAGTTGGACTGGAGACTATATGAAGCGGTATATATATGTTTCACACCATATTTTTCTAAAAGATTTTCAAATAAAACAGACTTAAACTGACTACCGTTGTCTGTAACTACAAACTCAGGTACACCGAAGAGATGAAAAATATCAGATTCAACAAAGTTACAAATTTCGGTAGATGCAAATCTTTTCACAAGTTTTAGAATAGGGTATTTTGTGAAGTGATCCAATATAACTAGTATGCCCACATTACCACATTTGGACCGGGGATATGGACCCAAAAAGTCCATATAAATTCTTTGAAACGGTCTTTCCGATTCAATCCTATCACCCATTAATGGTCGTAGAACAGTGTTCGGCGCTTTCGATTGTTTGCATACATCACATTTGGAAATGAAATCTCTTACTTCAAGGGACATTTTCGGCCAATACATGATCCGTCTTATTTTCTCAAGGGTTTTACCTACACCACAATGAGACGAATTTGGCAAAGAGTGTGCTCTATAAATGACCTCACTTGTCAAATCGGAAGGCACCCATAGCTTCCATGGCGAAGATTCGTCGAAAGGATTTCCATTTAAAAATTCCGTCCGTTTGTACACAAATTTATCAATGACCTTTAGGTCT